CGGCCCAGAATTTCTCCGGAACGTTTTTGTGCTCGTGCTCAACTTAGCTTCAAGCGTGATGCCAACAGCACTCTGTTCTGATATGTTTTTATACACGTTTTGGACTTCTGTTAAAGTCACAAAGCCATTAAATATTCTATTCTCCGTTGCTGTATTTCGAGAAGCCCAACCCGGCTGTCCTAGCCTTATTACGATAGTGGTAAGCGAAGCTCACATATAAGGTCCACATTTGAAGTGCGATTATTGAAGATGATCATGATCTTCAGAGCCTCTGAGTCAGGGCTCTATGGATAATCGCGGCAAAAGAGTTTCATTTGACCCGCTTTCTTTCGAAAATTGGAGGTTTTCAAGGCGTTACCTCTCCTCCCCCTGTTTCCCAATCTTCAACAGCATTTCCATCGATCACTGCCAGGGTTTTTGCTGCCAGTCATTGAGCTAACGACCCCCTCCCCACATTCCACAACGGTATTGAGTCCTGAGTCAAAGCCACTCACTTCGTTAGAGATTCCTCAACGAAGGGTTGACTCAGATTCCTTGGGGGCACTTGAAAGCAGTCACCAATTCCAACACATGAATTTGTATGAAGCATATTTATGAAGAAAAACTAAAACACTAGAACTCGATGAATACAGGTCAACTAGATACTCAAAGATTCTATGATTGCACAATCCTTTTCTGATGCTTCAGAGGAGACTTTCTTTAAGAAATTCAGTAAGACAAAAGGCATCTAGCGATTTTAGTCGTTCAATTTGAAAATATCTCCTCGATGTGCACAGGAGCTTGAATAGCACAATCTACAGATTATATAACACTATTCAAATATACGGAATGGGACATTCGGATAGTTTGCTTGTGGCATGAATGGAATTCTGTGCGGAAAGTCCCGAATTAGCTAAATCAGATGATACATTCCAATAAAGCTGAGATGCCGTCTGATGGACGGTGAACACTGAGGCGCTTCTAATCAACGATAATATTATAAAAAAAAGATAAAGATACATCATTTGCTACATGACACAATCAGCTTAAACATCATAGATGCGGAATACCATTCGGAATGTGCTACAACCGATTTCTCGTAGATGTATGTGGGGTTCGTGAAACTAAAAACATATGGTACTGGTACAAAGGATGAATCAGCTACTTACATAATGGCAGCATTGTTGTATTAAAAAGAAAAAGATAAGCTAAAACAAGGAGAGCGACGGGGAGAGAGAGAGACGGGTAGGAAGAAATAGAGAGCAAAAGGAAGACGGGTAGAGAGAACACGGGTGTCATGGACGACGTGACAGCCGAATTTCACAGCTGCAGACATGGGAGATGGATGGTCACCGGGATTGCCTTTTGGTAGGTGGAATGCGCTGAATAAAGCCTACGCTGTGAACATCGACATCTTGAAAGATACAACAACTTAGGTTCAACTGGGAAGCTAAACCGGGTGCAAAAAAAATCAATAAAAATCAGATGAAAATGATGACAATCAATTAGGACAAGATTAGAGTAGATCGCAATAAAATTACACGTGTAGTAAAGCTATTTTAGGCACCGATAAAAACTTCGTAATCGACATCTTACCTAACAGAATACGACAACCACTAAACAATGGGGAAAACTGTAAACAATATAGGACAACAAATGAAAACAAGCAAGAGGCATCAGTTTAAATTGTAGGCAATGAATCAATACTATGCATGAATTTTCAAACATTAACGAAGGCGGCGACAAATATTGATTTTCAAGGGACACAATACAATGTATGCTGATCGATCGATCAACTCTATCATAACTCCCTCAAGCAGGAGGAATGTATTCAGATTATGGACGAATTGCTGGACTTCAAGGCAGCGCACAACAGCGACTACCTATTTGACGCTTTGATACTGTGACGACCGTAAATGTTGAAATGTTCGACATAATGAAAAAATCTCGAATTTCAACTACTCCCGTATGGTCGCTGTTCTATGGGCGCGTTTTGAAGCATTACGTCCAACCAATCCATGTTCTGAAAATAGCCGAGATTTAACCTACAAGCTAAAAGAGTTTACAAAAGTAAATGTGTCGCGGCGTGCCGTGCTTGACATCGTGGAGTAAAATTGAGCAATACCTGATCTCCAACACCCTCCTCTGAGTGCGACGGCATACACATCGGATCTGTGCTTCGACCACCAACGCTCTGAAATTCCCTTGTTCATTCAAATGATATAAAAGCTACCTACAAGGAGAGCTGCATGGAACTTACGACGCCTAAAAATGAACGTGTCTGCGCTGTCTGCCATTACTAATGAAAAAATCTGCTGAGAACCCTCGAAATCATATTGCGCGCTAGTAGTGTGGGCGGGGTTTGCACTCCACCTATACGATCAGTCTCACTGGTTAGCTGTTTTTGTGATAAAGTGAAAAAGATGCAGCCAACCAATGACCCTATCGTAGTGAAAGGGCAACTGATCTGCACGTACGTTATTTCAAGAAATCCTCGGGATTTTTTTTCGCGTTTCTTGCCTTTAAACAACACTTCTTTTGGTATGCGCCACGTTTCGTCCTACTCAGGGTCGCGAACCAGCCGATTTGGTCTACGTAATCTGTCCATTTGTCTTTCAGACAAAATTACGTACCCTCCCCTTCAAAAAGCGAGAAAGTGTCGGGTGCAGACCATGCACCACAAGTGACGACGGCCTTCACAAAATGTTAATGTTTTCTGCCAATGAAATGATTAGCCTGTTGCAGTTGTATTCTATCGATTGTCACTAATTACAACTATCATTTACAAAGAAATTCAGCTATCACTTTTAAGAACCACTAGCAACTAGATTTTACTTCACATGCAGGCCGTCGGTCAGTTTGTGCTGTGTCTGGTCTGTACCCGACACTTTCTCGCTTTCTGAGGGAGGTGTTATTAATCGCAATGAAAAAGAACTAAGGTTTATGAATCTTCGCTGTCGGCAACTCGCATGTAGTCAATAGCCTTGCGTGATGTTCGCTTAAATTGTTCACGGTAAAATCACTGTATTCCTGCCGTGCAAGTATTGTGTTTGCTCTTGCATACTACGTGCTACTCGTTTCAATACATATTTATATGGTGACAGAAAATTGGAGTTCCCAAGTTAGACGAAATCGATAAAACTTCTCTGTGAACTTCGGAAAAACTTATTCTTGAAATACTTCTAGCATATCTGTATCGTCTCCTCTGTGACTATATTCTGTTTATAGTATCTATTGCTGCTGGTTATTTCGTTATATGAAAAGATCATTACAATATAATTTATTGGTGTTTTGGGATCAATTACGGCCATGAATGTTTACCAACTGCAGGTCATCATTGGGCTGCCGGGTTATCGTGTCCGAACGAGCATCCCGTCATCATAGGCAGTCCATTATTCAGGCCTGCCGCGTAAGCTGTTAGTTAAAAAAGACCGTGCATCATCCAATTCAAAATAGTTGATTTTTTTAATCGCAATTTCTGATTTGGATTTTGACTGATGATCGCTTTTCGAAAATGCATGGAATCTAACGTTAAGATTCCACTTTCTTTTTCGCTTTAGTCTGCTCAAGCTAAAGCCATGTAGAAAACAACAGTAAGATTATGTGGTAAAGTGGTTGCAAATCAGAAAGTGAAAGCGGCACAAAATATCGCCGCGTTGGGCTTAAAATGGTCTCCCATCTACCAAAATCACTTAAACTTTTGATTTACTGTGACTGGTCGAACCTGTAGGAAGAGTTAGAAGAACTCTGAAGAGGTGAACTCACGTCGTGAGGCTCGTTGGGGTACGGCGCATACTGTCCATTATTCGCTATACTGCGATCAGCACAGTCCAAACCAAATCCTCACCACGAAATATCGCCAACATCTTCACCTACCACATAACACCAACACCAAGATTCGCATTTGACAGGATCCTGCCTTGAGGCGCCTCCCATCTTACAAAATACTTGGGCAATAATAGGAATTTCGAGTTGCTCACAGAGATAACATCCGGAAATTATGTGACTATTACCTTGATCATCACGGAGAACGGCCATTAAGTCGTCGATGTCCTGAGAATAAGCAACGGGCGCTTGCTAAAAAGGAAGGTTGAAACGAGATGAAATTCTCAAACATCCGTCTCCAGTAATTCTGTATCACCACCACAACTGGAAGCGTAAACTCCTTCTACGAAAACAGCTCGCGACAGGTTACGAACATGCTGTTCGCTTGCTTTATCGATCTTTCACCAGAAAAATAACAGAAAGAGTGATTTCACTCAAAAATCTGCAAGAGAAAATTCACTACTACGTATATAAATATGAAAAGTAGGTCTCTCCCATGCAATAGTAGGTCGCAAAAAGGTTAGGATTTCCATTGAAGACCAAGATTTACTACTGATCAAGCCCTATCAACGAAACGCCAAAAATGATGCAATAGTCTTACCCCTAATAACAGGATATTACTACATAACTTATTACTAGTTCAGCAGGTACAGTACCTGTTCATAGCTCTGCGTGTTGTTCATCATCAATTGCGTCGGTTGTTGTGTTATGCTGGAACCAGTGTCTACTACGGTATGAGTGATGACGGGCTGGGGTTGGGAGACGTTTTGTTGAATTGTACCCTCAATCTCCATTTCGGAGAGTTGCACCTGAAATTCAGATCATCCACATCACTTTCATAAGCCCTTTCACTCTTTAGATTACAATGGTGTCAGCCGTCTAGCTTCGTTACCAATTTTATTTCCAATTACTCGTCCACCTCTATATTTCGGAGAGAAATTCTAAGATTCGTAGCGAAGACGCGTCATTCTGTCGATTTTTTTTTCGAAGTGTAAGTATTTGGGGACATCCGAGTGCGCGTACGTGGGCAGTTGGTCAGTCTGCCGGCTCGTGGCTAAGTTTCTGGTATGCAATTAGTGGTATGCACCCTTAGGCATCCTGCTGATAGGGAAGTCTCGATTATAAATTTCACAACACAAGTGACGTCGCCGCCTCGTCCCTCCAAATATAATAAATCTGATAACTAGTAGTTTATAATGGCAACTGATGTTGACAAGCGACAGTTATAATTAGTAACATTTGATAGAATACAACCTCAATGCGCTTATGCCTTTTTGTCGGCAGAGCTCAAACAATCCTTGGTGGAGGCGTACGCAACTGGCTGGTTGTAACTTATTATTAGTTGGGAAGAGGGAAGGGAGCAGTCTCCGGCGCGGCTCTAGGCATCCTCGCGCCCCATTGCTGCACAACGACGGGGGGAGGGCAACGGGAGGGGATGTGAGGTGACTCACTTAATATGCGTGAAAAGCTGGAGTTCGCGGAGCAGAGTCAACCCTGCGTTGCGCAGTTTTCAACGGCCACGTTGCGCAGTTTCGCCCGATTAGACACGTTCTCTCGCGCGAACATTCACACTCGCATGCTCGAGCCGTCTGCGTCTCCGCCCATACAGCGTGCGTTGAGGATCTCTCAACGTGCCGTTGCGAACTGCGCAACGCAGGGTTGACTCTGGTCCAGTCGAACACTATCCTCGCTGAGAGAGAACATCGCCGCACGCCGCGCCGAGGTCTTTACAATCTTATAGGTTCAGGAACATAGGATGGTATACCGTAGCCCACGATTGCGCAGAGAGCGCAGAGAAAATGAGAAATAGGAGGCGAACACACATGGGAAATGATTAGGCCGACGTCATAGTTTGCGAATCCTAGCGAATCGCTCGATTCGCAAACTATGACATCGGCCTTACATGTGGCATTTTGCGCGCTCGGGTGCCAACGGCTATGGCCAGACGTCTGAGAGCATTACGTATACCACTCCGCGTTCCTGAACTTATAATCTTCAAAGGTCTTAATCCTAGTCCAAGAGCTCGGCTAAAAAAAAGAAAAAAAAACTGAGCCCACTGTGTAGTAACAACTCACAGGCTGTTGCCATTGCTGATGGCAAACGACCATTGTCTGCTGAGATTCTTGAACATTATTCGTCATAGTGCAATCGATACTCTGAAAAACGTGCAATTCAACCATTCCAGGCGGTTTCTTCGAATCAGTGATCGAACTAATTAAATAATTAATTTAGACGCCTTCAAGTGGGTCCCCATAGGTACCTGGCTGCAGTTCACCGTTTCCCATTGCTCGAGACGCATCCTCCAATACACTTTTGAATATTTCCTCCATATCAACAGTCGGTTGTTTCCCATCTTGTATGACGCGTCTGAAGTTGCCCAATATTGGTTTATGAAGTATTTTAGGGGGATAACTAACTGACTGCACAGACAAGTTCTTACCCATTCTGGTGGTAAATCACTGTCTGATCTGGATGTAGCTGCATTCCAGATGCATCGCATATGATGATGGACTGGAAACAAAACTTTTTATTGAACTGCTGACAAGTGACGACTGAGAAGTAACAGATCAAAATATTCACTCAGAACAAAAGGGAAGGCTCTTCAAAATCAAAATACTCAAGGAGAAGCCACTAAGTCTCGCACTAATGGCATCGCATATGGGAGCCACAGCTCACTACCCATGTCCCAAATCAAGGCAACTGAGGAATCAAAAACTGCCAACCTGCTGATCCTCTTCGATTATGTTTAGCTTCTGTTCAAAGTTATGTGCTGGCATTTCATAGGTCTGTTCCAATGGTTCCTGACTGCCGATGCCGGTGAGTTTGCCTGAGATACCTGCAAAAGGAAGGAATGAATAAGATCGTAGTGCTGCTACCATCTTCGCTGTAGGTATTTCTTTTTCAAACACACATAATATCGCAAAAATCATTCAAGTGAATGAGCCGAGTTGAGTGCTTGGGACTAATTGTAGGCCTCAGGGAGGGGAAGGGACTCTCGGGATGAAAGTGAGCAATTTTTGTTTTCCCTGGCGTCCCTCCGCTCTCGTGGGCTTGCAACCGATCTCACCTCATCGCGGTATTCAGAGGGCTGGTTTCTATTCTCAATCCCCCCCCCATGCCAGCGCCCAAAAATGAATGCGAAACTTGTGCTTGATTGCCCACTCAAGTAGAAACACACTTACCTTATCTGGTGTCCGGCGACTGGTCATGCGTTGCTCGGCCTGCAATTTAATTATGCATTACTGCTCGATCACGATGCTATCCTATTTTTTTAATATTTTTCTTATATATTTTCTACGTCGTGCAAAATTCAATTTAATGGGAAGGAACTCACGTTTCTTTCCAGCGTGATACCTTCGAAGGAAGTTGAAACCGATCATAAAGCGAAGTTATTACGTCCTAAATTGTATTTCAAGAGTAAGAAAGAGGTATCGATAGAATCAATTTACCTGTTTAATGAGGCGTACGATATCTTGCACAGCCTGCTCCACATGAAGTTCCTCCTGCAGACGAGCTTCGGTAGTAGTTAACCGGTTATGCTCCATTGAATGCCTCTGAAGAGAACAGACATCTATGATAAAATTAGCAAGCTCAAAACAACCCACAAAAATAAAGGTGATAATGATAAAGGAATAAAAAAAAGGAATAATTAAGGAAAGTAAAATGGTGGGGGAGGGGGAGGGGAGAAGGCGGCTGGTTGTGGGAAGGAAGCCATTTTACTTACAGGGCGACTCGACAAAGCACTCGTCAGCAGATAACGGTGGGCTATGTACCCCCCTTAATTCCTTACTTCTTCTCGAAAATCGTCAAACGAACTAACGAAGGACGAACTAACGAACGTTTGGGGCAGCTTGTCTAGCCGAGTCGGCTCTTGAGAAACAGATTCATGAAACTCAACAACACACCTGTCTGCCTACAGCAGCTGCTCCAAGGCACAGGTCGGGATTGATTTGGGGTGCTTCTGCTCTTGAAAATGAATGTAGAGATGTAATAATAAACCATAAATGAAGAGAAAACGCAAAAAAAACATATAAGCAAGGATCGGAAATAAAAAACCACCCTCTCGGCAGCAGCAAAGGAGGCTGGGCATGGGAGGATGGCGTGTTCGAACGAGTTTCTCGAAGTTCCAGACATTGCTGGCTCTGTGCCAGCGTTAACATGATAATCAACCCAGCTGATTTCAACGCCCTTTGAGCCAGCCATCTTCGCGTACTCGGTCATAGACCAATACAGGATGACCCACCGGCTTCAAATATCAGACTGGGGGCGTCAAATTGCCACGACCGTCTCGATCAGAGCGTGACGCCACTTCTCTTGTAGCAACCCCCAGCCGCAGTAGTGATGGATGGGGTTTCTTTGACCGCCTTAACCCGACCCGTGCCTTTAAACGGAAGCAAATGCTAAATATTAATTTGAGCTTGCCAGTGACGAGGGACGGCTTCATATTCTAATGAAGGCGGGTATATATCAAAAACGTGCTTCCCTTATCGAGAAACATTTTGGGAATAGTTTGATGCGAAAACACCATATACCCTGTCACCCGGTGCGAAATAAATTCTGCTCGTAAGCGCCATGAATAGAAAAACTTTGCCTCTGCTTTTTAAAAGCGAATTAAGCCTATGTAAGGTTGTTTCTAACAGGCAGCTCCATGCTGTTTTAAGGAGGTAGACGTGGCTGTCTATTGTGGGAGACGTGTGGGTAACGTGTTTACGATTCGTAATCACGCGAATCCACCAATCACAAATATGTCTCGCACGCGTCTAGGATCCCAATATTAAGCAAACCTCACCACTGCTACCGACTTCAGATCCATATGAACCATCACTTAATTCATTTTCTCTAGTGGGAATTGGAATTCGGAGACAGGTTCTACGAATTATTAAAAAAATAAAATAAAGGGCATGTGTACATTTCGCGTACCTGAAGTGTTGCTTGTTGTTTTTTGTGTTGTAGAAAGTGCTGAATATGTTGTTTATTAATGTGACCAACATCCAATTCTCTTAGCCACTGCTCTCTTTCTCGATTCGTTGCGTTCTCTCGTTGTTGTTCACGAAGCCGCTGCTGAAATCGCTAACTTAGCAACATTGTCTTTTGAAATATTAACACCTCCAGTCTACATTTCAGTTAAAACAGAACCCAAAAGAGAGTGAGCCAGCAACGCGTAGAAGTATGAGTAAATTAGATTCTTAGCCGATTGAAGTGGAAATGTAAATAAAAAATACAAGATTTGAGATGTAAAGTCGGTAAATGGAAGCATTAACCTGGCACAAAACCAGTAAGGCCAAAGAAAAAACTATTACATTAGAAAGGCACTGATAGCTAGGGTGAACAACAGTGAGGGGTTCCTCGACAAAAGTTCATATCTTCCTTAGTGGGGTAAGAAATTGTCGTGTCCAGAATTTTTGGAGAGTGGAAGATGGGGCAATGGAGGATAGGTGGAAAAAGGAAGCACCGCGCAAGAAATAAAATTGCTGTTCTAGCAGTTAGACAACACCGTTTCCCTTGGCAGGAGTTCCGGTGAAATTTGGGGGCGGAGCTGGAGTGTGTCAGGTTGAACCAGGTTTGACGGCTACCATTGACATCTTCGCGAAACGGAGCGTGGGGCCAACGGAAAGAGTTCGCCCAAGAATAATCGGGATAGGGAAGGCGTTCAGACTAGAAATAAGCTAACCCCACTAAGCAATACCTTTAAGTTTACTCTCGTCAATCACATGTATAATGGTGACACAAACGTCTCAATAACTAACCTGCGCTTTTTTAGCTGTGAGAATGAGCTGCTGCTCTTGTTTCAAATGCGCTTGACTCTTTGCCAACTCCTCCAGCAACATCTCGATTTTCTTTTGTTGAGCGCGTAGCATTTCTTCATGCATAGATAGCGCAGCTGGTGTCAAGCTGAAACATGAGGATGGACCTATTGAACAATCCGATAATCAAAAAAGTCGTGCCGCGTACATAGATGACGGGTCATCAAACGTGATCGGGTTCTCCATAGTACCGTCTCCTGTCTCAGCAACAGTCTCAGACTGCCCGCTATTTGGCATATGTGGTGAATCACCTGCTAGATCAGCTGTACGAGGGCTATCTTGGAGGCTAAAATTCATTCTTCGATTATGTTGGTGAATGATAATGTGAAAAAAAAACTCACCAAGGGTTCATGCTTTCACTAGCGAACCCGTTTTGCACCACGGTGGTCTGGGTCGGATTCTAAACGCAGATCATGATGAGGATCAGGCTGTAAAGTGGATCAATAATATTATTAACTCACAATATGCACAGTGTTCTGAGGTGACGTTTGATAGGTAGTCGTAGTTGGTTGGAATGCAACTAATACTGGTGTTTGATGGGTTGCTGTGGTCGTCATTTGTGTTGGTTGTTGACCTAAAAAATCAACAAATCTTTCATTAGAAAAAAAAAACTTCGAAACAATGATAGAAAACCTACTCAAGCCGATTATACTAGTTATGCTGTGCTTCGGTGACGCTATTATGGTGTGAGATGGGCCTAAATCAGAAACAGTATTTTAAAAAGAACGCATAATTGGTTAGTCAACTAATAATGGTCATTTTTATTGCTAAAAAACACACTGTGTAAAAAATACGCAAAATCCTCCTCAACTTAGCGTTTCCCTTTAACTGCTTTACCTCTCAAATCTTTCTGGTAAATCGGCAAAGAAATGATAAAGGATAAAGCATTTGCCGTTGATCAATCCCTTTCTGGGATGCGGCACGCATTCTACTTCCATTTGTACATTCGTAGTGGCATTTGAATGCGATGTGGCCTATACAATGACTTGCGGGGGCCAGCCGATGTACAAGTCAGTGTTTTTATCCTCCCAGACAAGTCTGGTACCACCCCGGAGGGATGGAAGGCTTGGTTGGCCCTGGCCACAATCCAGGATTTGATACCCGCACTGTGCACTTGGTAAGCGGCGCTACTTGCCACTACATTATTTCCGCCCGAAGTTGGTGATGCGATAATAATTTTTAAGTTTAGAGGTAGTTAATCCACGTGGCACAAAGCCTACAAAACAAGAGAAATGTCAAGAAAATATCAATGATCAATATGAATCAATAAAAGGCCACATTCGTCTTACCTGTGGTTTTCATGACCATTGGCACGCCCTTAGTTGGAGTTCTCTCATTTGCTGGTGCAACGGTAAACTAAAAATATTGCTCAAAAT